AAATTTATAAATTTAATCTATATATTAAAAAAATTTAATTTAATGATTATTATTACTTTAAGTTCCCTTCAAAAAAAATTATTACTTTAAGTTAAGTATCAGTTTTAATATTCCAACCATAAAAATTTAATATAAGAGAAACTTCCATAAAAATTTTACAGTTTTAAAAAAATAGACTAAAACATTAATATCAACGACTAAAAACTATAAAACAATATTTGATAGAATCAAAAGTATTATATATATATATATATATATATATAAACTATAATCTTAAAATAAACATATTATTGGACAAAAATATAATTAAACTAAAACAATTATTACAAATTACAAAATCTTAAGTTAGACTTGTTAAATAAAAAAGTAAGATATTTGTATTTTTGAATAAATTTTAATTAATATTTTTTTTATGATCGCAAGATGATTATATTTTTTCATTAATTATAATAGTATTGATACAATCTAGTGTATAACTAAAAATATGTGGTTTAACATGAAATTTACATATTTTTATTAAGCATGAGTAACTTGATTAGTTATTTATACATAAAGTTCATTGAATAATTACGAATCAAACTAAATTTTCTTTTACATACAGTTAAGATAAAGCTTAAACAAATATTTATATAAAAGCTATAATGTATATCAACAAAAATTTGTTTGTAATCAAGTTCAAAAATAATATCGTGAAGATTCATACTAATAACTCAAGTGATTGTTATCATTAAGAATGAAGTTTTAACTTAACGAATAAGAAGTTACCTATATAATAAGATGTTATTGCTGAAACAAATTTTCTTTTCTTTATATAAAAAAATATATATATATATATAAATATCTTAGTATCTTACTAACTATGATGCTTACCTTAATAATATAATTTAATAAAAAAAATCTGCAATAAGTGTAGCTTATATAATTTTATTTAGTTTTACATTATCGCATCATATTTAAGCTACTCATGAACAACTTATTATACTTTAACAACAATGGTAAAACTATAAGTGTCTCCTTATATACTCGCATTTTTATTTTGGTTGATGGGCCCAAGCGTGAAACAATGGTTTTATATTCTAAACAATCTTATCTTATATAAGATATGGTGTTTAAAATAAGCAACCCACAATGCATGCCACATAGACTCATTTCAACATAAAAACAACTTAAGATACAATTATGTAAGCTTAAGATATCCCATTGCGAATGCTTTAGAAAATAACATCTTCTTAAGTCTGTATATTTTTATTTTAGTATAATATGTTAAATTATAATGCCTTTATTTATTTAAAAAAAGATTTAATTATTTTTTAGTTCATATAGTTCCATGAATTTTATTTTGTACTTCCAATAGTTACGAACATTTTCAATTTAATCACTATACTTATTATTTTTATTTCATTTTAATTCTTATAATTTCAAAAGTTTGACATTTTAGTCCTATAATAATAAACAATGGAATAAAAAGAAACAAAAGTGATATTTATAAAAAGATAAAGAAAGTATTTTTAAAGTTAAATTATTCTTTTGGCCACTTATCTTATTTTTTTAGATTTACTTTTTGTCTTTTCTTTTAAAATGTTCATTTTATTAATTTATCTCCTAAATTTAGATATATTTAATCCTTTTGAATTAATGATTATTTTTAATTTTGAGAGATGATTTTAAATATTTTAATAATTGATTCAAAATTTAAAATTTATCTTATTAAATTTATCTATGTAAAACTTTTAAACACAGCTGAAGTTTAAACAAAAAAATATTATAAACATAATAAAAATTACATATAAATAAGTCTAAAAAGTAACAAAAATAATTATAAAAATTTAATTTCATATTATTTTCTAATTATTGGTGGAATATATTTTTCAGATAATTTTTAATATATATATATATAACTCTTTTAAATTCAAATGGTAATTAAATTTCATATAGGTGAATTTAATAAAAACAAGTTTTAAGTTTTAAATCTATCAACAAAAGATTTAAAATTATCTCTAAAAATTAAAATAATCATTTCAAAACAATTAAATAAATCCAAATTTAAGAGATAAACTAACAAAATAAACATTTTAAAAGATGAATAACTAAAATAGATTTAAAAATTAAGATAATGGATAAAAAGTATAAATTAACCTATTTTTAACTATAAGAATTAACGGCTAAAATTTATAAAATTACAAAAAACAAATAGATAATTAAATATTTAAAAATTACTCACATTTTTTTTCTAAAAGATATATTTCAATATATTCAAGTCTATCAATAGTTTAAATAATAACTGAACCACTAAATACTTAGATCAAGTACAAAATTATTCTTTGTCGATGATCTCATATTCAAGATATACAATTAAATTAAATATCTGATATAAGACAAATTAAAACTATGAATGGACCTTTAAAGTTCTAATTTGTTGCTGTCAAAAATAGAAACTTTGTTGATGACAGAACCATTAACAAAATCAAAACCAAAAGTCAAGACAAGTTTTTTGTGGGAATGGAGTTTACATTATTAGACAAGCACAAGTCCTTGATTCTTAACCTTGTGTCAATATGGTTAGTAACAAGGAAAAAAAAATGATCCTTCTGATCTTTAAATCTGATCTTGTATAAGGTAACTTATCTTAATCTAAACTTTTCTATTAAAAAAATGGATATTTCCCCAACCCAGCCACAATCGGAAAGCTCAGAAGAGTGAGAGTGCTAGCAGAATAAAATGATGCATAAGAGAATAAAAGGAACTACAACAGAAAGAATAAACCAAAATAAACAAAGTTCATCACTAACCCCAATAGATACAACAGCCTACAAAATTGAAAAAGTAAAACCCCTGAAAGTCGAGTCTAGACATGAGAGAAATTTACAAGCAAATTAGATAGACTTAACAAGATAACCAAAGCCAAAGGTGACATATCAATAACAATGAAGCTAAGGAAAGCCTAGAGGTAAGTCCAGGTGCGGCTGCAGCGGGTTTCGGGGACGCGTGACCGGCAACTGCAGGCGGTACAGCACGAGCATTGGGGATACTCTGCTGCTGATTGGCTGGTAAAGGGTTTGGTGATCCACCAATGGAAGGTGATGTCAGACTTGCTGTGTCTTGACCTGCAGATTGAGTGATTAGCATAAACCACAAATTCATAGACTAGAGAGCAAAAGACAAGGCTGTAGATTGAGTACAATATATAATGGTGTGATCAGATATATTTCTCCATAAGTTAATTTGTAGAAGCTCTCATATAATTTTTCTAAAAAAACTGCTAATAAACTTGTGATTAGCTAATTTTAACTTATGGAAAACTTATTTCATTTTACTTTTGTATTTTTTTCCTTCCGGAAGTGCTAAAAACTTTATTCACTCGAGCCCACAGTGAAGAACTAGATTTTGGAGGAATAGACGTTAAAAAAAAAAAATTTGAGAATGATATTTTAAAAGCAAAATGAGAGTTTTTATAAGAACTGTTTGAACAAACTTCTCTAGTCCATCATAAATACATCACTTTTAGGAAAAGAAAATTAGAAGGTAAAATGAATTATGCTTCTCCCATGAATTAAAATCAACTAATGCACTTCAACTTTTACAGAAACTCTCTTATCTACTTTCTACAAAAATTGTGATTATAAGTTGTTTTTATCTTATAAAAGAAGCTCAATTCCTTTTTTTTTTCCCGATAAGTATTTTGGAGATGTTTATCCAATAGAGCTCAAGTCTCTTGCAGTCTTACACATGATTGTAGAGTTCACAATGTGTATCGATTACTTGTTTAGTTTATACCCTAAGCATAATTTTCAATAAATTTATCAGATCTATCAATTTTTTTCCATTTTTTTGCAAGTGCCACACTTTTCTCTATGGAAAAACAAGTTACCAATAAAAAAGAATCCAAACTACAAAAACAAATCTTTTTTCACAAAGATTTGGGAAAAGTACAATATATAAAAAGCTCTAAGTGAAGGAAATACTCACAATTCCATCTAGACCATCCAAACAGTAGATTCTCCCTATCAAAGACCATGCGATAACCCATCAGGAAGTTCTCTGAAACAAAAGTGTAGGCAACAATCATTGTCAGCCAGCACAAGGGTGCATGATCATGTGCATACAAGTGTCACGTATGAGCATTTACATGCATCCACTCTCAAACTTATTTGAGCTACCAGATGACAAAAAAGAAAAATAAATATGTTAAAAAAAAAAAAAAGACAAGTCTTGTTGAGATACAAATAAATATGATCTGGTTTCCCATATGGCAGGCAGCGGTATACTCACGTCCAATGGTAGCATAGTCATCATCATCAACCCGCATTACAGCCAAACAAAAGAAGTCTGGGTAATCCTGAACCATAAGTTCATGTAACATTGAAATTATAACCAAGTTAGGAAATTATTTTGGGAAGACAAGAGAAGAGGTTCTGCAAGGAAAGCAGAGGAAATCATAGAGAAACGCAGAATGTTGAGGACAGACCTCAAAAAGTTTATATCCTAGAAGTATTGTAGAAAACAACCAATTTCAGGTGAGATATATGTATATAAAATGTGCTTTGTTAGCCATCATTGAGTCATACAAGAGGTTAACAAAAAATGTTCAGAATCCACTTCAATTTCTATGCAACATATGCTGGAAGTCACTTCCTGATAACAGAACATACTGGTTACATCAAAGATTAACACTTTGATCAATGTTTACATAATATCAGATCTTCCAAAAGCTCAATTTCAAACCCATCCACCACTTCGTCTATGTCTTTACACTCTCCATTATTATTTGCTCTGAAATTCAGTAGAATAGATTTTCTTTCATCATGAAATTTTTAAGCAGCTTAGGAATCTTTGCAAGGTGGTTTTGCTTTGGGGTTGGAAGTTCTTGATATTCAGAGAAAGCAAGAATCTTTTTTCAAAACAAAAAATCATTTTTTTTCGGCCATAAAGATTCATCTTCTGTCAAATGAAGTCTCTAGACGCCAAAGTAGTACTCATCAAATGACAAAAGATCAACTATCACTGACCTAGATACAAATGGAGGGTTAACTTGTTACATTGTTTTTTTTATCAATATCTAAAGATTAACTTGAGTCTCAAACAAATACACTTATACACACAAACCAAAAGAAAAGGGGAGGAGGGGGGATTGGAAGTTTAGAATGCCTGACTTACAGAACCAGTAAACAATAACATGGGATTTTGAATTAAAAAAGTTTGATTCCTAGAGAAAGCAAGTTTCAACGGGGGAAAGTTGATCAACTCCTGTGAACTGTCACATGAAAAACAGCCATGAGTTACAATGAAACGTAAGAAGCTTATACGCTTAAATGCCTAATTATTTAGTACCTAACCTTGCACTATAGCAGTACTCCCACGAGGGTTGTTGGTAAATAATCCTGGTTGAATTGACTTGTCTGTCAAACTGTATTCAGTGAAGTTTTCTTTTAGCCCAGTCTATGCATGGCCCCATACACCACTAGATTTATGGTAAAAAGAATTACCTCAGTTACAACTTTTTGATAAACTTTATTGGGAAGATATGTGAAACCAGATCCACTGTCAATAACAGCTTTAAATTTGGTTTCCTTGAGACATAAGCTCCCAACACAAAAGCTCTCTACTCCAACTATATAGGTTATACTGCAGCAACTCAAACAATTAACATGAACCACAAAGCAATAAGGTTAGTAACGTGTATAGAAATGGCATCTAAATTAAGCAGCAGGTCAAGACCATTATATACAATACATACAATTCCCCCTCTTCAGGCAAGAATGATGTAGAATGTTGGGTGACATGACCTTGGTCGCCAAAGATAATTCTCCCAGATTCATTCTCATCGAAACAAATTGAAAAGGAATTCTGAATAAGCCCTGCCTTTGCCAGCAAACTTGGGACTGAAATGTTCCCAGTTCCTAGCCCTAGAAGACCATCAGGAGCAGCTCCCTGTAAATAGTCACCAGTTTGTTTGCTTCCACAACTGCATTCATAAAATCAATTATCATTGGCACTGATGCAAATCAAACTTGCAGCTTATAATCTTGCACAACACATCAAACCTCAAAGAACATAACAGTATCGTAATTTTTTACAGTAATAAACATACCCTAAAATGATAGAGGCTTGCACAGATTTTTGTATTGAATGTCTGCCATCAGACGCCAAATGTAATTTGTCTTCAAAAAGATATCCAGAACTTGAGGTATTATCTGAGTAGTACTTAACAAAGTAAGGGCAGGGATCCTTAGAACTTGTGCAATGGGAACTTTGATTACACAACTGATGACCACAAGGTAGGTGCCTGCTGGTGCTGGACAATGATGGTCTATATTGATTCAAATCCCTGTCCTGCATCAGAGATGCCCCCATATAGAAGGGAGCATCTGCCAATCAATCATTGAAATTAACTGCTAAATTTCTTACCACTCTTGGGAGAACTGTTGTAGAAGTCCAAATAAGAACATTCAAATTCAAAGTATAATATTTACTCCTAGGAAATTTGAGCATACACTTTTAAGGGAGAATGTCATTAACAGATAGCTAAGAAGACATGACACAGATATTCATGCTATGACAGTGATCCTACAATGTTTCAACTGTCATTAAAATTTTGAGAGTTGCAACATACAAAAAAAATGTCCTAGTTTTGAAATGTTCTTGACTAACAATTTCTATAGGATGGGCTTCTTCTCTTATCCCCTAGCATATTCTTAACCCTCAACCCTCTCCACCTCACCTGTGTCCATATGGCTATAAATGGGCTGTTTTACAGCAGAACCCCACATGCTTACAAGACAAAACTTACCATCGTGACAAAATAAATGTTCCATTCATCATGAAAAACAAAATGACAAAACTTTAAGCCAAATGGAATAGGTACAAAGTTCATCATAGCAATGAAATAATACGAAATGATTGAGATAAAAAAGTGTTGAAACAAATAAAGGCAAATGGAACTCGTATCTTGGACCTACCATCACATTGTTGTAGTTATCAGCAGACAAGGAAGCACATTCAATGCAGTCACAGGGAACCCAAAACAAGTCACTTCCAGCATCCAATGCAACAAGAAATGAAACATTTGGAGTCCCTATATCAATCCATGCGTAATGCAACCTGAAATTCAACAATGAACAAGTTCATAAAAATCATCGCTAACCTTTTCAGCATCCACTCCAACTCCCTTTTATCTCCCATCTCTACTCATTTAACCAATGTGAAACACAAGTATCCACTTTGTTGTTCAGCAGAAAATCCACATGACTTCAAACCATTTCAAATTTCACCATCAGGCGCACCCCACGATAACAACTCAATAGTCCTAGTAAAGTTCCGTGGATTTCAACCAAAGTCTCACTTAATAAAGTATTCTAAAACCAATAATATGAAACTTGTTAAGGCCACATTTGGAAGAGCTTGTGTACAGTTTATTTGGACTTATCATATTACACTATTAGACAAGCACCAATGTAAATGTTAGAAAGAGTTTATAAAAATAGCTCATGAAATGTTAATAAACTGTTTTCAACTTATTTCAATAAGCTCTCCAGGATAACTTGAGAAAACAACTTATAGCTTATATAGTCACAGTTTAACCTCATTTCCTCTTCGACTATGGGCCTGTTTAGATAATTTTTTCCAAAAACACCTCTAAGAATAAATAAAAAAAAGATAGGAAAGAAAATCAAAATAAGCTTCTTTATACGCTAAAACTAACTCATGCGCATGTTCAAAGTAAGATTTTGGATGAAGAAGTTTATTTCATTTTTCCTTTTTTGTTTTTTTAGTAGTGCTTTTGAAAAATTTACCCAACAAGGCCTATAAAAACAACTTATACATAAGTGCTTGTATTACAAGTACTTATTTATCCCAACCGAACCTGATTCATAGTTGACCGAACACTATTTACCTATACAGGATCATACAACAAAAAATAACACAGCATGGACTATGGAACAAAAGCTTGAAACTTTATTTTCCAGAGAACTTCCCCAAAGGCCAAACTCACTCACCAAGAAAGCTCATTGCCGTAGAAGTAGGTCTGGCTTCCTCCAGAAAGGTAGAGAGACTCATACTGTGAGCCAAGCCTCATCCTCTGCCGCGTCTCGTCACTTCTAAGAAGCAACCTGAAATACTCAGAGCTGTTCCTCTTAGGCCACGGTTGAAGCACAGAACCGTTGCCCCTCGAAGCCAAATGAGCCTTAGCCTCCTCAGAGAACCGGTGAACGAGCCTAGAAGAAAATGTGACCCCCGCAGCACCCTCCGAGGCAAGACCCTTGGCCAGCAAGAGCCAAAGAACAAGACCAATCGCCATGAGAAGGAAGAAAAAAAAAAAAAAGAGCTAAACCCAAAGAACCCAACAGAGTCAAAAACTCAAGTTTGGTTACACAAACAAAAGCCCCAATGGGTGGGCGAAAAAAAAAAAAAAAAAAAAGTTAAATTTGAGCAGAACGGGGTCTGATCGCGGAATTAGGAGGTGGGGTGGTGCAAAGTTTAAAGCTTTATTTCTTTTTTGTTGAGGGAAGAGAGAGGGTGTGGGGTGCGCAGTGTGCACCTTTGTGGGTTCCAATAATGTTTTCCCGTGAACGTGGCGAAGGGATAGAGGGGGGAGGCATGTGTCTAATCTATTGTATGTACTCTGTTGTTGCATAGAGTTTGTTTATTATTATGCCTATGTTCATGATTAATATTATTATAAATTTATAACGTTGTGGTCCATAAAGTGAAAGAGAGAAAATCCAAGGAAGGAAAAGGCACTGTGCTGTGGCTGGTTGCAAGACAAATGGCCAGAGGTTCCTTTGAGATCATTCCAGAGTACATATGGCTAGTATACTTTATTCTTTAATCTTTCAATTACCAAGATAAAGTTCATGTACGTAATGTTCTTAATATAAATAAAAAAAATCGACTGAAAATTTTATTTGATGGCATAAGTTATTATTTCATATTTTATTTTACCAATTCACACAAATGATAATCAACATACGGACAAAAGACACGGCAATCTTAATATGCTGACAACAAAATTCACTACCATACGGACAAAAGATACCCGACAGGGACGGGGACGAGGATAAAAATCACATACCCGACGGGTACGGGTACGGGAATGGGGATGAGTTTAACTTGCGGGGACAGGGAGGGGTATCATGAAACCCGTATCCGACCCGCCCCGTTGTCATTCCTGGTGATAGTGGTGATGGTGATGCAGAAGAAAATTGGTAAATAGATGAATTCAATATTTCATTAAAATAGAAACGTGAAGACTAATGTAGGACAAGAGGGAGAGAGGATAAATATATTACAGGTGGGTGATAAAGACTATTTTCTAAATAAGGTAGCAAATGATACTACATTATTTGAAATAAAACAATTCTAATTATAATTGATTTGTTGCACCAAGTTTCCTTAATAGTAACGGATTTGTTTTGATTTGTAGCAATTTGTTTCCATAACTAAAATAATCTTAACTATAGTTGATTTGTTGCATCATATTTTCTTAATAGTGGCTTATTTGTTTTGATCTGTAGCAATTTGTTTCCCTAATAATAGCTTATCTTGTTTGCTCATTATCTGTCAATTTAATCCCATAAATCATGTCTTACTTGATATTGTTAATAGATGCTAGTGATGCTGACATGACAGGTCATATGTCAAATGTAATAAAAGTCTATTTAAAAAAAAAAAAACTACAACCATAATTACAAATCATTTTTCCTTGGTTTTGAAAATGAATGGATAAGTTTTTTAAAATTTAGTTAAAACATTTCAGGTTCATTTTCTCAAATATATTTTGTTTTGAAAATTGTATTTGAAAACCCAAAACTAACAACCACCTCACGTAAGTCATAAGTAAATAGTTATATGGTTTAGATGCAAAGATTCTTAATGTGACCTTTGTAATGATCTAGTAGATCACTACACTTTAGAATAGAGCATCTAAGTAGTAGAAGACATAAATCTAATTACATAAGATTAACATGCAACAATTTTTAGATATAAATACAACAAAATATATGTATACAAATAAACTATTTAAAACTAATAAAATTCTAAGTTGTTGGTCAAGCAACTATTAAACAAATGTTGCCTTAGACAAACCCAACCAAAACACCAACATCTCCATCATGGCACCACAACCTACTAGTCCTCCTACCTAATCATGCCTTGTTCCATAATAAAATGACTATTGTAATCCAACAACAAGGAAAGCAAAGGTAAGCTCCTAAACAACAAAACAACAAATAGTATAAAAGTAATATACTAACAATATTAACAACTTCATTAATACAACACAATAACGACCTAAGTTTTAGTTTAGCAACACAAATCAATACAACTTTACAACTTAACAACTTTTCAACATAATTATGCATTCCATCATCATATCAACTTAGCAAATAATAACACAATTTGTCAATACAACATATGAACAACATAACATATGAAAAACATAGCTTATCAACACGACATATGTGTTAACACGCATTTCAACTAAAAGATATCTTACAAAGGTGAGTAATTTAAGTGACTTAACCATACCGAACCAACTTAATAGTACAATCTTTTTTACTTGCTATATTAACAACAATTTTGGATATCAATCCACAATACAACATAATTTTTTAGATTTTGACACTTAAATTAAGAAAGTCCAATATCCTTGTCAATAACAAAACAACTTGGGTGTAGGTCTAGTACGACATTACTATGCATCAACTAAGCATATATGTATAAAATTAATTCGCCGACTACCCTCCATTATGGATTTTACCTTTTGACTTCTTACTTTGCTCAAATTTGATTACTTCTAAACTAATGTAGCTAAATCTAACCCCGATACGATATCAACTAAGGACTTAGAAAAGACTCAACACTCCACTTCAAGAAAGAACAATACTCAAAAAGGGTTTTTCAACATTTAGACTCTTAAAGCATTACAAAAAATATCGACACAATGGAATATTTCAACCTTTTAAAACAACATTTATCCTCTAGTCCTAAGTTCACTACATAGTTCAACATCATGCATTATGCATTCCCAACACAACTCTACATAACAACTTGCTTTATGCATTCACAAGATGCCGACAACATACTTCACATGTTTATCACAACTCAACATTTTACAACTTCACACAATAAGCTATTTTCAATATTAAAGCAACTTAATTCTTCATCATACATCATTATAGACCAAAATATAAACAACAAACACAATAAGATTTGACTTATAAGATTACCCATTTCAAAAGAAAATAGGTGATTCAAGCCATGCAAAGAGTACTCTAAGCAAGTAAAATTCGCTCCAAGCGCCCATTCAACTCGCTCTAAGTGACCTCAAATAGAGAGCATCTTTGAGAGATGTAATTAGCTCGCTTAAGTGAGTATGTTCTCATTTGAGCGATGAAAATTTGCTCAAAGGGACCCATAAGCTCTCTAAACAAGCCAAGCCAAAAAAACATATATGAAATGGTCGCTCCAACTTTCTTAAGCAAGTAAGTCCTCATTTTGAGTGAGCACATCCAGGAAAAGAACACAACATTAAAATAAAATTCATCAACTCAAACAATCCAACCATTCCAATCATCAATCAACACCAATTGCAACTAAGTGTCTCCCTAACAAATCGAATTCAAAAATGTTTCCTCAATACCTATACTTCACAAAAAAGAAAGAAAAACATGTTTTGCATCATAAAAGGACACACATGGTTTTACCTATTTGGTACTTAAAAGGTGATAAGTAGCTTATTTGATCAAATAAGAAATGACAATTTGATGAAAGCATTTAATGCAAGCATTTATCACACCAACAATCATTTCTCTCCTAAAGAAGCAAAAATGAAGACAAACAAAGCAAGCCATGAGAGATAAGCTCAAAGATTTGCAATGGTCATCTTCTTTGAAACACCTATATATGGAAGCTCAGGGATTCAGATAGATGATGATAATTAAGACATAAAGATAGAGAACGCACATACAAGGAAATATTATTTCATCAATCTTTTTGTAAACAACTTTGTACTTCATTATTGTATCCCATCTTGAAAGGAAGATAAACCAACTTTGTAAACCTTTATAACTTTGAGTATTTGGGTTTGAACCTAGAGAGACTTGTCTATAAAATAGTACTTGGTGTTTGAAGTAGGAAGAGACTTTGTGTAAAAAAAATACTTGGATAGTTGTTTGAAGATAGAAGTCAAAAAAACACCTAAGATTGAGTCAAAAGTGACTTGATAATTTTTTTTTGTATCTTTAATAAGATAGTGAAACTTGAGTTTGTTGAATCAATAATTGGATGTAGTCTTAATGGTTAATATTAACCAATATAAAAGCACTTTGTATTCATTTTGTTTACCTCTTTGTTTGCATTCCTTACTATAACTTTATTACTTCACTATCTTGCAAAAAGTGTAAGTTTTTAAATGACATTATGCAACTCCCCTTCTAATGTCTCTCTTTTCTCTACATCCTTATAATGTTATTTTCACGAATTAATTGATGATCGAGGAACTAAGAGGAATGATTAATATTGAGAACTGGGAGATAAATTAATGAGTAGTAATGTGTAAGGAATTGGCTAAAATAATATATTCTGGTGTGTAAATATTGATTATGTCGTATGTGGAGTTACCTCTTGAGATGAAATGTATTAATATGAGTAATAACAATGAATAATGCTATGGTGTGTGATGATGTTTGAGGTTTGATGATGATGATGTTATGATTGAGATGTCATGATAATGATGATAAAATGATGAATGTTATAATATGCGATGGATGAATGATGAAAATATATAGTAATCATGATGTGCATATGAGTGAAATTGATGTACGAGAATTATATTGATGCATGATGTGTTAAGTTATTATGAGTAATATGATGATTAAATCAAGTGTTATTGTAGACTAGCAAACAAGGAAGAAAATTGTTGCATATTTGTGATGTTATGATGTAATTCATGCATACATATTTTGCTCGTAGGATAGTTTACGTAGGTGGGATATCATAGGTCATCTACCTATGCCTTGAGGAGTGTTATGGTGGGAACACCTCTAACGGGAATGGGAGGTTATCATGACCAACGATAATACTTTGACAGAATCCTAATAGACATCCCTTATTTAAGAGTGTTTCGAGGGGGATCATTATAGATGGGTGGTCTCATTCCATGACTCCTAGGTTATTTTGTATTGATGAGGAGGAGAAGAATGGAGATTCGTACCACATACATGTAGAGTTAGGAACATATATTGCACGAGTCATATTTTATAATTGAATTAAATTGTATAACTTGTTGACTGTAGACAAAGAATGAATGCTTGGTGATGGTCATTGTAGATGTATGGATATATGGTGGTTTATATGTATCTGAGACGTAGTTGATATTGTAGATGTGTGTGTTTATTCTTATGCTTCATATATGTTGTGTGTGATGAAATGTATTTTCACTCCCTATATTTGTACACTTATGTTTAGGTTAATCACCATTTACAATAATAGATAATTATAGAAAGATGTATTTGATAGAAGAGATATTTCAAATTTTGCATGTTTGTAGTTTTACTCTGATTAGTGTGATATTAGGACGAAGATTATAATCTTAGTATTTTATTGAAATTGT